GAGGGGCTTGATCCCGCACCAGAAGATCTGGGATATGGGGCTGGACTCCAGGCTGCGGAGCAGCTCCCGGCAGAAGGGGCCTGGGTGGGAGCAGGACCGAGCCCTCACCACCAGCCCCCCAGCACTACCTCTGGGCAGCCCGGTGGTGAAAGTGCCCAGCAAGCCCATGGTGGGATCCCCGCTGCCCAGCCCGCTCACTGCTGCTCCTGCCCGCGGCCCCGGCTCTCTGCTCCGAGCTGTTGCGGTCCAGGAAGGCTTTGACATCGTTGTCTTCGTACCAATTGAGGGAGGGGATCCGCAGCCCCCCGCCCTCGGGGTGCCCGCAGGCGATGCGGGACAGGGTCCCAAAGGTGCCCGAGCCGGTGGCGCTGGCGTTGGTGGCCATCAGCGCCTGCAGCTCCCGCTGCAGCTCGGCGAGGCTGGTCATGGAGGAGACCTCGGGAGAGCGGGATGGGGCTGTGGGGGACTGGGATACCTGGGAACACCATGGGGCACCTCCGGGGTGCACAAAGGTGAGCACTTGCGGTGGGGCCGGGGGCTACCTCCTCCAGCAGGGATGCTGCATCCCGTACGAAGGTCCCCAAGGCTTCCACGGTGCCAGCGATGCCGCCTGCCTCCTCTTGCTATGAGGGGAGCACGGGAAACGGGACCTCAGCCCCTCTGGGGGCGGGGGGGGGGTGTCTCTGCCCCGGTGCCTTCCAGCACCCAGCACCGGGCCGAGCTCTCACCGCCAGGAGCCGGGGGAGGTCGAGCTGGGAGAGGAAGGATCCCTCCATGGCACGGAGCTGGGGGCCGGGCAGAGCGCAGAGCCCCCGCTGCAGGCGCTGGGTGGAGGCGGTGTCACCCCCCCTCAGGAAGCCCCCCAGCTCCGAGGAGTTGCAGACCACGTCCTGCAGCGGGCGGCCGGAGCCTGCCAGGGAGAGCTGTGGGGAGAGGGACGGTCACAGCGCGGCCCCCGACCCCCGCCAGCCCCGGGAGCGGCCGCTGCCCCGACCGACACTCACGATGCTGGGGCTGAGCCGAGCCCCCATCAGCTCGTCCGCCAGCGCCGGGGCCAGCGACGTGTTGGTCCGGAGGAACCGCGAGAAGGTCTCGTCCTCTCTCAGGTACTCCCGCACCGGCAGGGCTTGGGGGGGGGGGGGGACGGGACGTGGAGGCCGGGGTCAGCCACGGGGGTCTCGCTCCCCCCCCGGGACCCCCCGGCCCGGCGCTCACCCCTCCGCTGAGTCCCGCTCCCCCGGAGCCGGCGCAGGGCGGGCAGGAGCCGGGTGAAGCTGCGCAGGAGCCGCTGCCCGTGAGCGCGGTGCAGAACCCGCCGGGCTTCAGCCAGGAGCCGGGAGAGGCTGCGGGGCACGGGGGGGGGTTGAGACCCCCGGCCCGGCTCCCGACCCCCCCCCCCCCTCCCTTTCCCCGGGTCCCCGCCGCTCACATGGAGCCGTCGAAGTTGCCCACCACGCCGGGGGCCTCTCCCGCAGTGGGGTGCCGGAAGCAGGGGTTGTTCATGTTGCAGATGATGCCCTGCAGCCAGGGCAGGGTCCCTGCCGACGGCAGCGCCTTGTTGGGGAAGTGGCCTGCGGGAGAGGGAGAGATGGGTCCCGGGGTGGGGGGGGCTGCACCAAGCCCTGAGCAGGGAGGTGTCAGCGAGCCCCCAGCTTGTGCCCACCTCCCGCGGTTGTGTCCCCTGGTTCCACCCCAGCCAGGGCTCCCATGTAGGGGGAACCCGGCAGGCACGGGGTTGGGGGGGGGGCCTGCCAACCCAAAGCGTGACTCAGCAGGGGCTCCACGGGCCACTCACACTCATGCTGCTTGAAGGGCGGGTGGGATTGCCGCACGGAGATCAGGATGAAGAAGAGGAAGAGGGGCCACAGGATCTCGATGGCCAGTTGGAGCTGGGGGAAACCCATGGTTGGGGGGGGGGTCCTCATCGGCACCCAGGGCTCTATCTGCCCCTGTGCCATGAGCCAGCAGCTCTGGGCACTCTCCCATCCCTGTCCCCTGCTCACCCGCTGCCGCCGGCGGTAGGTGAAGTTCTTCCAGAGCAGCAGCCCCAGCTGGGTGCCCACAGCCATGGTGTGTCCTGCACCCAGCTCAGCTCCGGCTGCAGGCGAGAGCAGGGGGATCAGCACTGAGCTGGGGGCAATGGTCAGGGCTTATTGCACACGACTGGGCTCTGGGGGTGGCAGGAGCCAGCCCGGCATTCCTGCAGCAAAGCTCCTTCCTGGAGCAAAGAACTCAAATCTCATTCATCCTTAACCCAAAACCAGCAGAATCCGGCACAAGCTCTGCGAGTCCCTCCAGGTCAGTGCTGCGCTGGGAGCAAGGAGCGGGATCCACACAGTACAAGAAGCACAGGGAGCAGCCCCAGCTACAGGAGCAGCTCCTCCATTTCCCTATGTGAGGGATGTGGCCAGACCAGCAGCAAGGTTCAGTCCTTCTGGTGAGACCCTCGGTGCCCCAGCGCAATGGGCTCGAGGTGCAAGCTCAGACACCCACATCCCACGGATGCCCCTTGAGCTGCGCTGGGGTCCCAGCAGCTCCAGCCCCATCCCAGGGAGCCCCCGTGCCCTCCTGGTTCACCCACAGGGCTGCAGCTCCCGGGACCCGTCAGCAGGGCGCCAGCCTCCCCTTCCAGCCTCACAGGCAGCTCCGTGCCCAGCTCTGGCACGATTGAACTCGCAGCTTCTTGCCCGGCCAACACCCACAGCCGGGAATGCCGAGCTCCGGAGCTGCTCCCCGGCCACCACCACCTTGAGACACCCCAGGGCCACCCACAGCACCCATCCCATCACCCTGGTGTTGGCGGCTGGAGCTATGGCCTCGCCATCCATCCACCTTCCTACGTCCTGCAGCCAGCTCGGGCAGGAGGCCAGGGCCTGACTGCTGCCTGCCCTGCCCACATCGGGTCCCTGGGCACAGCGGGGATAAGCGGGCACCGGCCAGAGGGATTAGGATCCCGGCTGGGAAATCCGGCTAATGGGCCTGTGGGGCCAGACACGAGCAGCCCCATAGAGGGGTCCTTGAGGGGATGGGATTCCTCTGGGGGCTTGGGGGGGCCGTGCTGCCCACCCCGCTGCAGAGACAACGAGGGAGGACCCTGAGCCCCAGGCCTGGAGGGACACCGGGATGGGGGAGCGGGGGCAGCCCCACCAGGACACCGGGATCCGCCGGCAGCCGCCCCACGGGGACACCCCGGAGCACGGCGGCTCCAGCATCCCCGGTCCCCGCCGCTCCGAGCTCCGCGCTGGCCCGGTGCGGAGTCATCGGGAGGTGAATGGATGGGGGGGGGGGTGCCAGGGACACCCCGGGGGGGGGGCAACGGAGACGGGCGGATGTGGGGGCAGCCCCGGGGGCACGCTGCGAAGCCGGAGCCTGGCCGAGGACCAGGAGCACCCCCCCCCAGCCAGGACCCCCCCCCCGTTGCCCCCGTTACCTGCTCCCGCAGCCACGGCGCGGCCCCTTTAAGAGGCCCCGCCCCTCCCCGCTCTACAAAGTAGCCGCGAGTGTGACGTCATGGAAACGCATCTTAAAGGGGCCCCTCCCGGCGCTGGGGGGAAATCGGGGTCACGCGGGGGCGAGCGAGGGATCGGAGCCCATCCCCATCCCCATCCCCATCCCCATCCCCATCCTCATCCCCATCCCCATCCTCATCCCCATCCCCATCCTCATCCCCATCCCCATCCTCATCCCCATCCTCATCTTCATCCTCATCCCATCCTCATCCTCATCCCCATCTCCATCCTCATCCCCATCCTTATCCCTATCCCCATCCCTGTTATCCCCATCCTCATCCCCATCATCCTCATCCCCATCCCCATCCTCATCCCCATCCCCATCTTATCCCCATCATCCTCATCCCCATCCCCATCCCCATCCTCATCCCCATCTTCATCCCCATCCCCATCCCTATCCCCATCCCCGCCACACCTTGTCCATAGCACACCCTGCCTATAGCACACCCTGCCCTGCCCCACTCTGTTACCCCTCCCTTGAGACCCCCGGGGCAGCAGAACCCCGCCATGGGCACTGCAGCCCGGCCTGAGACCCCGTTGGAACCCGTGCTGGCCCCCATGGCTGATGTAGTCGGGGAGAGCTCCCACCCCTCTACACCCACTCAGGGTCCTGGAGCCACCCCATCAGAGCCCCCGGGGTGCTGTTGGGGTGCTGGGTGGCAGCGATGGCCCTGGACTCGCTGAAACGCAGCGTTTCACCCCAAAAGGTGGATCCCTGCCCGGACAGGGTCCGGCAGGCAGGGCTGGGGCCGTGAGCACGGGGCCACCGCTGGGACACAGCCCTCGGGGCTCCAGGGGCATCACCCAGGTTTGGTTCTTGTGCTCAGGGCAACACAGAGCCCTTGGAGCACGCATGCAAGGAGCCTGCACCAGAACCCGGCTCCTGCTGAAGTGAAAACAGTTGGGGTTTCTTAAAAACAAGGGTTCCATACACGAGGATCTTCATTAACCCCCCCCCGCAGGGGATGCAGCCGCTGGGCACAGCCGGGGCTGCACCACGCACCCACATTCCCCGCCCCTCGGGCATCCCCCCGTGGCACAGGATGCGGCCGTCGGAGGCAGCCTTGGCTCCAGCCTGGCAGAAGATCTCATCGCTGCGGCTTCCCGAGCTGCAGCCGGTGCTGGGAGTGCCGGGAATGCCGCTGCCAGCCCAGCCCTGCGGCCACGCCAGCTCCCTTCCCTCCGAGTCCTGCCGCAGAAGCGTTTCCAGCTTCGCCTCCGGAGAGCACACGATGCTCCCGCTGCATCCCACCATCCTGAGCCCCTCTCCTCCATGGGGCTCAGCACTGGGATGAGAAGCGGCGCCAGGAGCAGCTGCTTTCTGCTTTGCCAAGGGATGTGGGAGCTGCATCCTGCCCCGTCGTAGGGTGGGTGCTGGGTAGGGAGGAGAAACCATCCACTCCTTGGTGCTGGAGCATCCGCTGCCTTCCCAGAGCCAACACCGGGGCTGTGCCAGGACCTCGGGGTCTTGCGGGCTGCAGGAAGCGGGTGTTCTCTTCTCTAGAAACAGGGTCTTTATTTCCTTGCTCAGAAAAATAGATCCATTTTCAAATTAAACCAGAAGGAATGATGGAAGCAGAGGCTGGAATGTGGCAGGGTCTGTACATGAGATGGTGCGAGATGGGGCTGGGCCCCATCCCACTCAGTAGCTCTCCTCCTCCTCGCAGTAGTAGTGGTACCCGGGGGGGTCCCCGCTCGGGTCGCCCGTGGCGTTGGCCACCTCGCCCTGGCTGCCCTGTGGGCAGTACTTGGGGTCGTAGATCTGGCGGCCGAGGCCGAAGACCTGCCCGCTCTGGTTGGCGCCCTGGTTGGAGCCCATCTGCAGCGACATGGAGGAGTTGTCGCACTTCTCCGTCCCCATCTTGGAGTCGTAGATGTGTCTCCGGGTGCCGGGAGCCGTCATGCCCACCTGGAAGGACAGGATGGAGCAGGGCTCGGCTGTGGATCCCCCCCTATCCCTCCCCACTGCGGCCGCAGTGGCTCACCTGGCTGGCACACTTGTTGGTGCCCATCTGGAGGCTGATGGTGGAGTGGTCCATGGGCGGCAGGATCTGATTCTTGGGGTCATAGAGATGCCTCCTGGTGCCATAGGCCGTCATGCCGGACTGGCTGGCGCACTTGTTGGTGCCCATCTGACAAGGTGGGGGCCAGTGAGGACCAAGAGCTGCCCCACGTGTGCCTTTCCCCCTCCCTGTCCCCCCACAGCCCAGAGGACACAACCAGCGCTCCCCAACCCTCTCCAGGCTCCCAGCCATGGGATGCTGACATGGAGCCGAGATCGCCCCGGATCCCTCGAGCCTCAGGTCTCCCCGGTGATGCTTGGAGCCGTGATGGTGCTGAGGGTTGGATACAACCGGGACCCTCTCACCCTCGGGAGCATCTCACCTGCAGGCCGATCACGCACTGCCCAGCCTTCATCTTGGCCTCATCAAAGTTCCTCTGCTGCTTCTCCGAGTACTTCACGCCGATGTCCACCCCGCTCTGTATCCCCTTTGTCTTGGCCTGCCGGGGAGGGACAGTGAGGAAGGATGGGGAGACCCCGACCTCCCACCCTCCCCAAGTGCCCCCATCCCAGGCCGCTCGCCCCCCCATGTGCTCACCATGCCCGCCAGTGCCAGCAGCGACACCTGAACCTGCGTCAGGTTCCCGCTCTCAAAGAGGTCGTTGGCTTCAAAGAGGTCCACGGGGTTCATGCCGTAGCTGGCCATGGCCTTGATGAAGTTGGAGAGGTTCTCGAGCTGTGGGCAGGGGGAGAGGGCTGAGACCCCCTGTGGGTGACAGCAGAGGGGCCGGGGGCTCATGGGCTGCCTGCCCCTACCTGGTGCCAGTTCTGAGCCGAGCGGTTGATCTTCCGCACCGCGTTGGGCTGCAGCTTGTTCATGAGCCTGGAGGGAGGCAAAGGGGGAGCGGGGCTGCAGTGGGGCACAGGCCCCTTTCAGGAAGGTCCAACCCAGGTCTCCCCACGTCCCTGCTGGTCCCAGGGCTCCCCCAACACGGGTGCTTTGGGGGTCACTCTGGCTGCCGTTATCTGATGGGTCCCACCGGCGTGGCTGGATGCAGCACACCCATCCCACCCCAAGGGCTGGTGGGGGTCCCCCATCCCCATCTGGATGAGGACTCACTCGCAGAGGATCACCCCATCCTTCAGCCCCTTCTGGAAGTCAGGCCCGATCTCCTGCCCCGTGACGCTCTCGATCCACGTCCGCAGCTCAGCCTCCTTCTGTGGGTCGTACTTCTGGGCGAGCTGGGAGAGGACAGCGAGGGGGATGCTCAGGGTCAGCCCCTGCCTCTGCCCCTCGGATGGGGATGGAGCACGAGCACGATGCTGCTATCACACACATCAGAGGCATGGGGACGGTGTCCCTCACACATGGCAGCCTCCAAACCATTCCAGGGGGATGAGGAGGAAATGCCCCTGGGGCAGGAGGGAAACGTCCCCCATCAAGGGCCCGTTCCTCCCTGTTCCCTGTCCCCCACTGAGCCCCGGGGTCCCCGGCCATGCGATGCTCTCCCCTCCGGCGGGGCCGAATGCGCCGCCGCAGATTCCTTGGTCACCGCGGCTATGCCAGGAATGCGGACGCCTCCTCCCAAATGGAGACCAGCTGCCCGCGCCGGCAGCATCACCGGCAGCGTGGCCTGGTGGAAGGAAAAGGCTTCCAGAATGGAATGGGTGGAAGCCCCAAGAGCCACCCTGCTCGATCCTTGCCCCTCCTGTGCTCAGCTGGTACCCGGAGATGGCTGCAAGCCAGCCACCGCCTCTCACCCATCCCACTCCATCCTGGGATCCCTGGAGTGGGAATGGACCAGCTGGGATGCATCTGGTGGGATGCAGGGATGGTCCAGCTGAGGTCAGGTTCACACAACACCTCGAGCATCCCATCCGGGGGATCCCACCATCCTCCCAGTGCAGAGGTTCCTCTTCCCACCCCATGGCCAGCACGGGACTGGGGTCGGAGGGGACTGGCCCCAAAGCAGAACCCACCACAGCCCAGTCGCAAGGGCTGGCACGGACTGGGAGAGTGCCGCTGGTTTGACTGGTTCCCAGTGGGTGATGTCAGCCTCCAGCAGACAGCGGGGCAGTAAAACTGGCTCAGGTCTTGCTGAATCAAGCTGAAGCACCCAGGAGCACGCAGCAGCAAGGCTCCGGTGCGTGTCCACCCGCTCAGCGCGGGTGCAGCCCAGCCCAGATGCAAGCAGGGACCCGTCTTCTGCCGGTGATGAAATGCAAAACCCTGCAAGGCCGGGCAAGGAGAACCCAGCCACATCCCCATGGCCATGCAGAGCCACCACCACCGGCTGCCCTGGGGTGACCAGGGCTCAACCTCAGCTCGCCTGGGGCCGGGCACAGACCAACACCGCAACTTCTGCCTGCGCCATTGCCCAGGGCAGCAGCAGTGCCTTGGAGCCCAGCCACAGGGGAGGGGGTGGCTGCATCCCCCAGCCCCACAGGACCCCTGTGCCCCCATCACGCCAGCCCCAGGGCCCTGCCCTGCCCATCACCAGCACCCAGCTCCTAGAGGAGGCTCCATCGGCTCGGCAGAGGGTGCCGGCGGTCAGGGGGTTCATTGCACCCTGCAGCAGCCGGTGGCACCGGCTCCCCTTTCCCCTTCGGGCCCCGAAATGGGAACCCTGCAGCAGAGCGGCTCGCTGCAAGGCTCCGGGTGCCCGCCGGCGGTCCCAGGCTCCAAGGAGCCAGTGAGGGCTGGGGGCTGCTCCTGTCGGGATCCCCCCGGGGCCACTGAGCCCCATCCCCAGGGAGCGCCGCGGGTCGGAGCATCCCACAGGAGAAGGCGCCGGGAGCCCCAGCCCCGGGTTTGCAGGGAGCGACAGCGGCCACTGCACGGACCCGGGTTAAGAAGCCGGTACCCGGGAGCCGTCCCAGCCCCGGTCCCCCCCGGGACACCCCTCAGGACCCCCGCGGGCAGGGCCAGGGCACCCCGAGCCGGGAGCCCATTCCCGGCACTCCCCGCCCCTCAGAGTCCCCGGCGCACCGGGACCCCCGGCTCCGCATCCTCGGCGGATGCCCAGCTCCGCATCCTCCCGGACCCCGGTGGCACAGGGACCCCTCTGCTCTTCAGGACCCCAGGATCCAAGCACCCTCCCCGCAGCAGCACAGGGACACCCGGCTCTCCAGGGCCCCCGGTGACCCCGGTTTCCCCCGGTGGCCCCGACTCTCCCCCCCCCCCATCCCGGTGGTCCCGGCCTTCAACCGCCGCTGCTCACCCGGTTCTTGACTTCGGCGGAGAGGCCGTAGGAGGGGCCCTTGTTGAACTGGGAGCTGCTCATGGCCGGGAGCGCAGCGGAGCCGGTACCGGAGCGGGCAGCGGCAGCGGGACGGGACAGGACGGGGCGGGCGGGACGGGGCGGGCGGGGCTCGGACCCGCTTCTCCCCCGTGCTGATTGGACGGGGCCAAAATGCCCATATAAGGCCAGAAGCGCCCGGATCGCGGAGGGGGGGGGTCCCCCCCCCCCCCCCCCCAGCACCGGGACCGGGACCGGGGGAACCGGGGCTGGGGCCGGAGCCGTCGCGGACACACGCGGGCACAAACACACGTCCATAGCGGGCACATGCACACGTCCATAGCGGGCACAAGCACCCGTCCATAGCGGGCACAAGCACCCGTCCATAGCGGGCACAAGCACCCGTCCATAGCGGGCACACGCACACGTCCATAGCGGGCACAAGCACCCGTCCATAGCGGGCACAAACACACGTCCATAGCGGGCACAAGCACCCGTCCATAGCGGGCACAAGCACCCGTCCATAGCGGGCACAAACACACGTCCATAGCGGGCACAAACACACGTCCATAGCGGGCACACGCACACGTCCTTAGCGGGCACAAACACACGTCCATAGCGGGCACAAGCACCCGTCCATAGCGGGCACAAACACACGTCCATAGCGGGCACAAGCACCCGTCCATAGTGGGCACAAGCACACGTCCATAGCAGGCACAAGCACACGTCCATAGCGGGCACAAACACACGTCCATAGCGGGCACAAGCACCCGTCCATAGCGGGCACAAGCACCCATCCATAGCGGGCACAAACACACGTCCATAGCGGGCACAAGCACCCGTCCATAGTGGGCACAAGCACACGTCCATAGCAGGCACAAGCACACGTCCATAGCGGGCACAAGCACACGTCCATAGCGGGCACAAACACACGTCCATAGCAGGCACAAGCACCCGTCCATAGTGGGCACAAGCACACGTCCATAGCAGGCACAAGCACACGTCCATAGCGGGCACAAGCACACGTCCATAGCGGGCACAAACACACGTCCATAGCGGGCACAAGCACCCGTCCATAGCGGGCACAAACACCCGTCCATAGCAGACGTGCGCGCACACGCGGGACACACGGACATGACACACACACCCCACACCCCCGCTTCCCCGCACACCGGGATCTGCTGCCTCCGTGTCCGTGTCCCCCGGGACCGGAGGGGGGGGCCGGGGAGGAACACACCACACACACACACACTCCCCCCCCCCAGGACCCCGGAGGGTCCCCCATTTCCCACCGAGGTTTATCGATGCCCCTCGTGGGTGAGCAGGCGGCTGTGGGGCTGCAGCACCCATAGGTGCGTGGGTCACGGGTGGTGACCCCAGCGGGCAGTTGGGGGCAGACCCTTGGGGGTCATGGCGATGCCGAGCTCTGGGTGCCCACCCACGGGGTGCTCCCTGCTCTGCCTCCCCCCCGGGGTGATGGACACCCCCAAAGAGGGGTGAACCCTACAGCCGCTGTTCTGCAGACTGGGGGTCTCTGCCCCCCACAGACCCCTCTCTGCATCCCTGGACCCAAGCCCCCCACAACCCCGAGGGGCAGCCCCCCCCCCAGAGAGGCTCCCTGGGTGCTCATTGGGGCTTTTCCTGTTTCAGGTTGGGCTGTGGGGCCGATGAGGAAATAAGGCGGTGTCACACGCGCCCTTCTGACAGTTGGCCCCGGCGAATGTGGCCGGGACGGTGAGGAACCGGAACCGGAGCCGGAGCCGGAGCCGGGCAGGGCAGCGGGGCCCGGGGGCAGCGGCTCGGCCGCCCCAGAGCCATGTTCTCCCGCAAGAAGCGGGAGTTGATGAAAACCCCCTCCATCTCCAAGAAGAGCCGTGCGGGAAGCCCGGTCCCGCACACCCTGCCGGTGAGTGTCCCCTGCTCACCCCACGGCAACCTGGGGGGGGGCCATGGGGCCACGGGACCCGTGGAGATGCGGGGAAGAGCCGCAGGGTGAGAAGGGAGGGGGGGGGAAACCTGGGTGCGGGCAGGGGGTCTGCGAGGAGGAGGAGGAGGGAGACAGAGACAGACCCTGCTCACTGCGCCTGGGGGGATTTTGCACCCGATGAAGGGGATAGAGCAGGCACAGGGCAGGGGAGCCCAGGCACGGGGCTGCGGCCAAGGGTTTGGGGAGGGCAGAGACACCCGCAGAGGGCAGGGAGAGGAGCGGGGGGGCTTGGGCAGCCCCGGTGCCCCTGCTCTGCTGTGTGTTTATGTATTTGTACCCCCCCCCGGGGAGCTGGAGGGGAGCAGGAGGAAGTGGGGCTGGCCGGCAGCTGGGGTTCCTCCACGCACCCCACGGCACCGCCTGCCCCGCGCCTGCGCCCAGCCGCAGAGCATGGGGAGAGATGGGGCCGGGGATGAACCCGCTCATGGCTCCATAGCAAGGGGCACCCGGCCCTATCCCTGAGCCCTCCGCAGAGGGGCCTATGGGTGGCGGACGGAGGGATGCTGGGCCGGGCCGGTGGCAAGAGGAGCTACAGCCCCTACTCGGCCGGGCGCCGCAGGACGGGCAAGGCCAGCGCGCCCAAAGGCTCCCTGGACTCGCTGCCCCACACGCCTGCCGTGAGGCTGACGGTACGGCTGGGGGGAAGCGGGGTCCCCGGGGCGCAGGGAAGCAGATGGGGTCTCAAGGGCTTGGCCCCAGCCGTTGCAGGGTGGGGGGCTTTGGGCACCCCCTTTTGCTGGTCTGGCTGGTCCCAAAGGGCTGAGCTGCTCCGGTTCAGTCTCACCCACAACAGCTGCCCACAGGGTTTGGGGTCTGCCCCGGTACCAAAGCTGGGCTCTGGTGCCACTGAGGCAGCAGGGCCTGGCTGGGGATGCTGAGACCCAGCGCGCTCGTGTCACACCAGAGTGCCTGAGGGCTGCTGATGGAAGATGCTGGATGGGCAATGGGGCTCCCCTCCCTGTGCCACGAGGACCCTCGCTGGGTTGTGGTCCCCGGTGCTGGCACCGACCCCTCCCTGGGGCAATTTTACCCCTAGAAATTGGGGCCGTGCCCGACCTGGGGATGGGACAGGCTGCAAAAGAGGAAGGGATGGTGGGGCCGGCTCCTCAGCTGCGTCACGGCCCGCTGGGGATGGGGAGCTCCGGCACAGTGGGTACATTGGGTGCTGGTGGAGCCAGGGCAGTGTCACCCACATGGTGGTTGTGTGCCCCCCAGGACAAACCCGGACCCATAGGCTCTGATGGGGGCCAGTGGGGCTCACGGGGGCAGTTGTGGCGACCGAGCTGGCTCCTGACCTGCGGCTTCAGAGACGATGCTGCTCTGCAAAACCCCTGTGCTGGGGAGGTTGATCCGCAGGGAGCTGGGGTGGAGGGGATGGGGGGGAATGGCTGGACCCGGCCAGGATCACCCTGGGGCTCTGCCGGGACGCCTGCATTGGGGAAACTGAGGCACGGCCCCTCAGATCCCAGCCCCGGGGTGCTGCCTGCGCTGGGGTCCCAGCCTCACGCTCCTCCCTGCTCCCCAGGACCTCTCCCGCAAGGATTGCTTGGAAGCTCCCGGCTCCAGCCTGGGGGAGCTGCCCCCTTCCAGCTCCAAGCTCAGCACCAGCCCCAGCTCCACGGGCACCCTGAAGCGCCCCACCAGCCTCAGCCGCCATGCCAGCGCCGCCGGCTTCCCCCTCACCCCCGCCGGCCCCAGGGCCGTGCCCAAGGGCCACAGGACCCCCACGTCCTCCTCCTACAGCCCCATAGACGGCGGCGAGGGCCCCTTCGTGGACACCGAGGACATCTCCCAGCTCCTGGCGCATGTGGCCCGGTTCGCTGATGCCCTGGAGAAGCTGCGGGACGTGGTGCTGCGGGACGGTGAGCACCGGCAGGAGCATCCGCACCGGCCCCGCTGGAAGAAGCAAACCGGGACCCACAGAGGGTGGGGGGGACCGCGGCAGGGGGCGGTGGGCGGCTGCCGGTTGCTCGGAGCCGGGATAACGCCGCTTCCTGCCCACGAGCTATTTTCATCCGCCCGCTTTCCTGTTTACAACGCGGCGGTGCCAGCGGTCGGGGCCCCGTGGGGCACCGGGCACGGCCCCACCGCGACCCACAGCGTGGGTGCAGGGCTGTGGGGCAGGGGAGGTGAAGGGGGATGCGGGGATCTCGTGAGGTGGGGCTGGGGCTGGGGCTGGGGGGGTTTGGTTCAGGCAGTGCCGTGGTTTTGGCTTTGGGTCTTCAAAGATGTTGGCGCATCCCCGCTCGCTGTGGAAACCACGGCCCCAGGGGGCTGCCCCATGGGTCTGGGGTCTGCGCTGTCGGGGGGGGGGATGCTTTAAGGTCATTGCAGGGAGGAACCAGCCCTGAGCAGGAGGGTGACATCCACTGCTGGGTTCCACAGTTATGGGGTGGCCGAGATGGGGCCATTGCCGCTGGCAAAGAGATAGGGTTGGGGCTGACCTGTGGGATGTTGCCGTGACTTTGGAGAGTCCGGCTCTCCTCTGAACGCATCCATTCCCATTCCCTGCCCTGGTGGTCTCCCTGATTCCCACTCTGGAAATGGAGGAAACCCCTTCCTGACCCCAAATCTGGGGCTGGGATGTGGGGCAGGTTTAGCCTGGTGGGGCGGAGGGTGCCGGTTCCCAACCCCAGCACTTCCCCATGGGAGGCTCCCATAGGCACCGGCACTGAGACCATGGGCACTGGAGCCCCGGGGCTGGCAGCTGGAGCCCATGGAGGGGATGGGGAAGGATGCCAGGGATGGGGGCACGGCAGCAGGACCGAGGCGCCGCATCCCTGCCGGCGGCCGGCAGAGCCCATCCCGTGGGGAGGAAGGGGAGGAAACGAGGAGGAAATTCCCAAAAGGCTTTCAAGGGAAAAAGTCACTTCTGAGGGAAAAATGCCTGGAAGGTCGGGCTGCCCCCGCCGGGACACGGCCGGGATGGGAGCGGAGGCCTGGAGGCAGCAGGACCGGCTGTATCGGTCCTGCGAAGGCCCAAGGCCAAGGGGATGGGCTGCGTGGGTTGGGGGCCTGTCAGGACCCTGCCCAGAGGGTGGATGTTAGGGATGGGAAGGGGGATCTGGATAGCAGGGACATGGGGCAGGGATGTGGGGAAGGGATGTGGGGCAGGGATGGGCAGGAATGTAGGGCAGGGATGTAGGGAAGG